GTTGGTCTAACGACGCTCCATCGGTCATTATACTCGGGGAAATCCGTATGGTTTCATTGTCGGTATCAGGTTTCGCTGGAAGAGATCATGCGCCGGCATATTTGGCAAACAAGATGGCCCACAAAAAGGAAATTCCCAACATCTTTGAACTAATATAAGAACAATGCATTTAATTCACAAGACAATAATTGGCAATAAAACGCTGGAGCGGATGCAGAGGATTATGAGAAAATAAACCCTATTTGCATCCTTTATTCCTTTATTGAATATCATGTACCGTTCTGAACCATCACTCCTTGTCTGCACATGTTATATAGCTACTGTGTTTGTTGTGTGATTTTTGTTGTGAATATGATGGTTATTTGTGCCGAAGCCCGTTAATGAATCATGTACGAACTAAACTAATTGTTGTCAGAAGTATGTATGCGTGTCGCCTGATATGCGTATCCGGTATGCTCCTGTTCCGATTCCTCCCAAGGGCCGCCGCGAGGCTTGGCGCTTGCCATGGTGCTGCATGGTTCCTGCTGAACCCTGATCCCGGCACGTGAATCCCTCGCGCGGCAGGGACACATTTCATGCATGCCAATCTCTGGGGAGAGGGAGAGCGGGCAGGGCTAAAATGCCTTCAGCAACCTCTGCTCTGCCATCTGCTCTGTGTTCGGACCTCCAGTACTGGTCCGCATCTTGTGAATACTCCAATAACCTCAGCTGGAGCCAGTGCCAGCCGTCCGTCCGCTGACCCGCATGCCGCCGGTAAGTGCTGCCACCTGCCGATCCGCCCCGCACCTCCTAGTTGCGCCACCAGCCGCCAGGGCGCCGGCCGGCTCATTGATGCAGTCTCTTTCCGTGTGTTTCTTGCGCTGAACGAGGATCGCAAGCCGTCGCCTGACGCAGCCGACCCGCCAGACAGCACAGGTCAGTCGCTCGCGGACAGACGCGGACACGGCCCCATAGGTAAGGCCGGTCCCAGGCCTCAGAGCCAGGTGGAACCGATCTAATAAACCCGAGTGCTTTCTGAAAAATGCAGACCGGAATTAAGCTAGCCTATTTACGGCTACTTTTTGCATATATTCGATTTCTTCAATAGCTTTAATTTCCAGTAAAATGTAAAATACTGTTCGCTGTGCACTGAAATGCCCCGGCGACTGCAGTCAGAGGCGTCACCAGAGACACTTCCCGTCAGCATGGTGTCAATGTGAGGGACTGCATGGATCGTGACGGCACGATATTTCTAACTTGGTTTTCACAGTACACCCCTCTGCTGAAGCCTCTGACTGCATCATGAATCATCTATCATTCTTTCTCACACCCAAAAAGCAAGTGTTATCTGTTACATACCTACGGATGTTTATATATGGAGCGGTCACCTTGGGTCTTAACGGTTCTGAATGTGGATACTCTACAACTGTATAGCCGTCTTATCGTCCTTGGCACAATGATCTGGGGGTGCTTTTCCCGCTCGGCTTGCTGCGCGCTGTCGGGTCTCCTGCGCCGCGCTTGTGGCCCTGTCTCTCTGCCTCTCTGTCTCCCGTCTCCTGGCCGGTCGGCCGGCGGTGGCGCAGGTGGCGCCACCGTCGCCGGCCGCTCCGCCCCGCCGCCAAAGGCCGGCCGCGCTGACACGCGCTTCTATGTCTCTTTGTGTGTGTGCCTGCTAGACGCCCGCCTGGAGCCCCTGTCGACACGCGATAAAATGTTCAAGATGTTGGCCAGCACCAGTGACGAAAAGGCTGCCGATGGTGAGACCTGCCTGCCACCTAGCGAGCGCCCCCGGAACTATCAAGAGCGAGGGGAGCCTGCGTCACTAGCCTACTTGGGGACGCCACTAGGCTTGAGCACATGTCCTTAACGCTATTCTATCTAGCTAGTCTTAAATGTCCAATTAGCTCTCCTTTTTTACGTCAGCATAGTTGCATAGTTGAATAGCCTCTTGCTTCTTAACTGTGTAGAGCATAGAGCAAGCAGTCTTTCTCTCGGGCTTTGTTCGGACTTCCCTAATGGGAGCTGGCTTTTGGCGCTGATCCGGCGCTGGGTGTGTGTGTGTGTGGGGGGGGGTGAGTGCGGAGGGGGCCCGGCTGTCCACTGACTGCCGTCTGCCGGCTCGCCTCCGCAGAGCAGGAGAGTGACTGTGAGACGGACCGGCGCCAGGCGCTCGACAATCAGCGAATGGCCGAGCTGGAGGGCAAGCTGACCAACAGCTTCTTCATCCCTGAGTGCACGCCCGACCACAAGTACAGCCGCGTCCAGTGCCACAAAACCACCGGTCAGTACACGAACGATTGAATGAATGAATGAATGAATCAATGAATGAACTAGATGAATGAATAAATAAATAAACGAATATATGCATAAAGAAAGAACGGGATAACGAACGAAAAAATGTATGCACGCATGAATGATTGAATGACTGAAAATAAGTGAGTGGATGCATGAATGAATCAATCAATGAGTCAATCAATCATGCAGTCAATGAATACTAGTGAAAACGTAAGCGACTTTCGAATGCCAAACAATGAAGTCATTGTCTTGATTTTTTTCTCTCGTAATATCACGCTAGTCACTAACAGTACTAATTCGTCATTCAAACGAATGGAAGGGTTACGAGTTACGACCGTACAAAATAGCATCCATCGGAGCGTTACCCGTTTGCCTCGTGCCGTCAGGTTACTGCTGGTGCGCCGATCCCGACACTGGCGAGTCATACCCTCAGCAGGCACCGGTTAAAGACAGCGTGCCCGACTGCTCGGCCATCCGACCACCGAGCGCAAAGCCGCGCCCCAAGAGTCGGCGGGGCCGCGGCCGACTGCCCAAAGGTCAGTGTCAGTGGTGAGCGCGCCCCCTGGCCTCTCAAAGGAGGAGCTAGCTATCCCGATACAGCAGAGAAACCGCCCTGTTGCAGTAGAGACCTAAATAATGAATATGATACGGTAGCATGACATATGTTTGCTAGGCATTCTCCAAAGACATTTTATTAACCTGTATGATTTGTAGATATTTTGACACATCAAACGATTTTTAGATGAGCCTCAGGTTTTGCTAAGAATATCCGCCGTTTATTTTTAGTCGGTCTTTTACGCGCCCTCCAGTCCAACAAGTTTTGGCACCCTGTTCAGCATGTATCTGTCATATCATCTTCATAAACATCTCCAGACGTGGTCATTTCATGAGAGTTGTGAGACAGCGGCGCCTCTTCAGCGCTCCTTTGGCCTCTGATTGTGCAAGTCGAGTCTCTGAGCTCCTTCCTCAGTAGACCATTCACGGTCTGGCTCAGCTGAATGCTGACGACGCTGCTGAGTGCTGACTGCTGACATCCCTCTGCTGACCTCTGACCTCTCCGCTGACCTCTGACCCCTCCGCTGACCTGCTGACCCCCAGTGTGCCGGAGCGGTGCTGGTTTGCAGTCGTTCCTTCGCCTGCTCATGGATCACCTGACAAGTCGACTCATCAAGGCGCTTCAGCAGAAAAAGTACATGTAAGTAACGACAAAAGGGACCGTATCTATCTCTTCACTGAGCTGTATTCCGTGTCAGAAGCACATGATACAAGTGTATGGCCCTTTAAAAAACGGAGCAGTCAAATGTTTACGAGATTAATTCAATCAGACAAACGATTATGGTACTTGATGTGTATTCCTTTACATCACATTTCTAATCTACTGGGGTAGCCGGGTCATGCCCGGCTACCGCTTCCCGAGCGCTGGTACTAGCAGACGTACCGCTAGTTACCGTGTTACTCTTGGCTCTCGTGCTCAGTTTTGGCCTCGATAATAAATTGATCGCCATTCAGCCGGGGCAGACGGAAGGAGAGTTGAGGGGAGGGGAGAGGAGGGGAGGCAGGGGTCAGAGAGGCAGCTGCGGAAGAGTTAGGAAGTAGCACAGACCGGCCACTGACGTGTTTCCATCCGTTCACAGACTTCCGCGCGACACTGGCGGACAGCGGAGCTTTGAGGAAAAGGTGGCAGAGTGGAAATTCAGCGCCACAGACACCAACGAAAACAAAGTAAGTGCTATCCTAAATCGTATTATACATTTTCTTGCATGTAACTTCATATCGCATGTATGTACCTAACCTTATTATCTCTCGCATCACGCATGTTTGATAACATCTTTTTCCATTCATGCACACTGGTTCTGGCCACGTAGACAGCCGAAAAATGAATTGGCCGAGGAACGTTCAACACTGTATTAAGCGGGGTTGGGCGGGAGGGAACCGCTGGAATTGGCCCCTCCTCCTGGGCTAGGCGTTAGATCAGCGGATCGATCATCTTTACCACTGGATGGCGCGATCGGGGAACACGCGACCGACTACACGATGGTGCGTAGAAACGTATATGATGACTGATGAGTGCAAATTCCCAGTAAATGGTGATCGGCTTTGCATATATTGAGGGCCGCTTTAGAGGCTGATATGTTTTAGAGACTGCCGTTATCAAACTTGGATATGTCAGTATGTCTCTATATAACTTGGATTAGCACCGTGGCGTACTTCTCACCGCTATGTTTAATCTTCCAAGCGCTATTCATCATCTAACAGACGAAATGTACTAAAGTAGCGAGACACTTGCATGCTTTCTCTTTCTCGCCACTTTCCGACCGTTGTAGTTATTTCCGGGATGCCTTGCACTATACAGCCATTCCATGTTGTGCCAACTTTGCAGTGCCTTTGCAACACGTCAGACGGAAGACAGCTACTGCGGTGCAGAAGCTCTGGCCATGTTTGCTTGATGTAGGCGGTCTGCGTTCAGAGTAAAGTCGTTGGGTTTAGTTACAGCTCGTGTTTATTGTTTCCGGGCAGCATTGAGCGTAACACACAAGACGACTGTCCGAGCCGTTAGCTCAATGAGTTCAATTTGACTGGCGAAAGAACATAAATAAATACATATGTACATTTAACAAGGTTACTCATGATGCAATAAACAAGACGTGCTCTGCAAGAAAGAAGTGGAATTTCAACCAGGAGACAACACAGCGTGACGACAACACGAAATCAGTTAGGTACAAAGCTTGACGACCCGTGCACACTTATATTCAATACTTATCCTAAAACAATGTCAAAGTTCAACAGTAAAAACAATGATAACATCACACAAGCACATGACTAGGGTTCATTCCTTCACGAGTGACACCACCCGTAGCAGTTTGTCTATACCGAGACCGATACGAAGCAATACCTACAGCACTGTTTATTGCCATTCGGACAGCTACGGCGCTGTCTTCTTCACGCCTCTCACACATTTCACGCCTCATCGAATCGATCTAACACTAGACCACCGTTTTTATCCCTGCATTGCGCAAATACAGTGCGGGCAATGAATTACAGCGACACATTTTTACCCAATAGCCAGCACTGAGTGAGAATGTAGCGTTAGAGTCTCTCAGGCCATTCGCAAAATCCATCGGGCGGTCCCCGCGCGTCAGCCAGTGCCAAACGTGGGCTGATTCTCTTCTCGTCGGGCCGCCGGGTGCGAGCACGAGGTCACATCCAGTCCTATCGTTTCACACACCGGGTGACCTTGCACGCGAGGATAACGACGAGTGGGGACGAGTCGTATGGAGGCGGGAACTCGCGATGATGCAATTGCAGGGACGCGTGCAGCGTGAAGCGATAGAGGCGTTACTTTGCGAGACGGTTGGATGTTCCGCTCGCAGCTGTCTTTGAGGCTGCAGCTCACTAAAGGGAAGAGTACTTATTTGTCTCATTCTGTGCCAAATTAGGGATAGTCACAGGAACGCTGTATCGCTGAGCTGTCATGGTCCACGCCGGCGGCAGAGTATGGCGAGTTGCGAGTTCATTCACCGCGTCAAGCCGCCCCCAGAACAGCCATGAACCCGATACGGGCCGGTCAGATCACTCGTCTATCCATCCTTGAACAACTAGCAGTGGCGATGCAAGAGCAGCCGGCCTCCGGCCTTGGAACCACCCATGCCTCTGGCGTCTTCAAACGCCGCTCGACAATGCCATCCGCGTCTTTCGCCCGGCTCCTCAGGTGTTGAAGGAGTTGTGGAAATTCTCCAGCAGCGTCGTGGCTGAGGGCACGGAGGGGACTGGCGGCACCTCTCCTGTGAACGCTGACGCCAGCACGTTGAAGACGGTCAGCAGGATCGAGGCGATCATGCAGACGTTGTTGATGGTCTCCGCACGGCGGAAATGGTGCTGCTTGTTGATGTTGTAGCGGGCCTTCAGCATCAGGCAGACGGCGATCACTACCTGCAGTACGATGCTGAAGGCCAAGAAGACGATACACACCACCCTGAACGGCGAGTCCGGGTCTCCGCGGGTCACCAGCGTGCGCAGCTGGTCCGCGTTGGCCGATAGCAGAGCCACGTCCATGAAACCCTGCGTCACCGTCTTCTTGGTGCTGTAGACGTCAATATCGGTCGGCTTCATCGGCCGTACGTCCGACACTCGAGTCCACTTGTTGCGCCGCCGACCTCCGCCTCCGCCCACGTCTTCTACACCTGGACCTCCCCCAACATCCCCCGCACCACCGCTCAGGTCCTCCTCGAATGGCTGCACGCCGGCCGGCGGGACCTCTCCGCCCTCCAGCAGGGCCGCGCCCGTGTCCGGATCGGCACCGCGCGGCGGCACATCGCCGTTCGTACTGGTCATGACGATTGCTGTCGATCCGTCCGCTGCCAGTGTTACTGCAGAACTAGCTGAGTTCACCCTCTCGCTCTGAGCTGGTTTGCTCACTGTAGAAGGCTCGCTCGCCTCTCGCTGTGTCTCGCTGCGCTCTCTCGCTGCGCTCTCTCGCTGTCTCGATGCGCGCTCGCTGCGCCTTGCTCGGTGCTCTCTCGCGGTGCAACTGCTGACGGCCGAGCGAGCGGCGCCAGTTTTGCCGGGCCTACCCCGTCAGAGCGGGACGTCCTTCGTTCCACGAACGTTGCACCGCCGCGCCGGCCTCAGTGACGTCACAGTGCAGCCAGGGTGACGTCACAATGCAGCCAGGAATGACGTCACACGCGACTGACTCCGCTCTGTGCGGCACTTCCAGCGGCGCGGTTGCCTGCGGTCGGGCTCGCGGTGACGGCTCTGACAGCGCGGCGCCTCGGCTCCCGGCGCGCGTTGTGGCCCGAGGATGGCTCACTGCGGCGCCTGGTGCCGCCCACGACGAGACGGCGCGACAAAAATAGACAGGAAGTCGCTCAGTCGGGCAGCGCGCCTGCGCTCCAGCTGACGTCATGTGTCGGGAGCAGCGAGGGGAACGGAGGGGCACGAGGAGATAGGCCCCGGATGAGAGCTCTGTGGTCGAGCTGGGACGGCCCACAACACTTCCGGAGTGCGACACCGGAACTAGGAAGAAAGCTCATTCAGAAACTTCAGTAGTTGTATCTGTTAGCTGTTGAGCTCACCCGATTTGATGTCTGCAGTTAACGTTTGATTTTGCAAAAAGTTCGAGATGTTACATCCTTGAAAGAGAGGAATTTGAACTGCCGGATCTTTCATTTATTTAGCATTGAATGACTACTGCATTATGCGATTGAACTTGCCCTCAAATGAAATAAAAACCGTCTTACTATGATTAGGTATGCTAAAAATAGCAAATCATTCATGCCCGCTGGCTGTATGCCACATTAATAGCCGACGGAAAGCCCTAACTGACCGCCCGTGTTTCCCACAATAGCCACTCGTTGCATCACCAGCTATTACCTGTTCTTACGTCTCACCTGACGGACTTCCCCATCCACATCCACTCCCCTCCGATCGTCTCATCTCGCTCGAACGCAGGGCTATTGTTGAGAAGAATTCTAACGACGCGCGTCACATTTTCCACGCCGGCTCCCCGCCGGCATCTGAGACAATTCACCGTACCTTGGGTCGGCCACGGACGTCACAAAGAGTGCGGATGATGGGGTTGGGACTTGGGAGGATATTTAGGTACTGGTTCACGGCATTCGACCGCAGACAGGGGCCCGTGCCGCCGCTCAGCCAAACGCCTCGTTGCGACGTAGTTACTTTCCAGCTCCGTCGGACGGCGCGGCGTTGCAAGAACCGGTCATACGGTGCAATGTCGGATAATATTCAAGTCATGGCCCACAGCAATTCCGCATTTTTATCGTTTGAGCGTGTATGAGGGATGTCTGAAATGATACCGGTCCAGACGGGTTACACCAGAAAATTGCATTCCAACATGATAGCGGCGTCCGTCCGAGCTGACTACTGCACGGTCTTCGTTCAACCGGGACCCGTCTAAGACGAACAGAGCCCCCATGGGAGGAAGGACTGAACCGTCAGTCTGTCCGTGTGTCGAAAGGCGACAGAGCATGGCATTCCTGATCCGTGCTGCGTCTTTCACGGCTGATCTGCGGGACCAGAGCTCGTAGGGCAGAGCTTCCTGTATGTACCAGCTCAAGGATGTGGCAACGGGATAGGGTGACGAACAGCTCACGCACGGGAAATTCCGGGTCAGCCTCGCTTCTCACGCATCGTAAAAAGACAACGACCCTGACTGGAAACAGGGGACCGGCAGCGATGTGACGCCACGGCCACCGTGACGTAAGGTGACGTGTCAAGAGTGAGCGCATAATGTGACTGACACGGCGGTGAGATTATACTCGTATGCCCATCTGAGTCACAGCTGGACTCGCATAAAGCTGAACCATAGACCCCTGTACCTACATCGCTGGACTAGCATAAACTGGACACATCAGCTGGACTTACATTACACATGGACTTCCATATAGAACTGCAGGTGCGGAGGGGAAGGGAGTTACACCACACCCCGGCAAGCGGGCTATAAATAGAATGGTGCCAGGACACGAGCAACATAACAAGGCATGAAGAATTTGGAATGAGGGAGCTGCCTCTGTTTTGCAGGAATGTGTATCTGTGTATCTGATTAAGCATGGCGTGAAATGCTTAACACATGTATGCAGCGAATGTTGCACCATTTTGCCCGAAATGACATTCTTGCATTTATTTAAAGAACCTCAGTGCAGCAGAAAATGACTTTAATGACATTTCCGCCCCCTTTTCGAAAGTAAGTGAATTGCATTTGCCAGCAATTTACTCTGCATGCCCAAGTCAAAGTTGGTTATGTTTCCATGCGTGATTCCTCGCTGTGGAACCGTCCGATACAAAACTTGCCATGCAAATACCGAACAACACAAATCTTCTTCGTGCTTTCCAAGCCGAAGAAGAGGACCGCGTATCACATGCCTATCTGTAGACGTCGGCAGTCTGTCTGCCTTCGTCCGTCCGCCGATGCTAGCGAATAAGCTCCTCGCATGGTCATACCTAGACGGCAGTCCTCGTCACCATTCAGGCTCGGACTAGGTACACCCCAATATCCTCCTGTGCTCTGTGTCCTCTCACTCAGGTGTTCGACCGACGGGAGTGAAAGACGCTACGAAAGGAGTTCAGCCCGGCTCAGTATCCTCCAATAACTCCCTATGTGTCCTCTCACTCAGATGCTCGACCGACGGGAGTGGAAGACGCTCCGAAAGGAGTTTTCCGAGGACCCTGAACTGAGGCGGTGCGGCCGCCGACTGCCGCGCTACTGTGACGCCAACAACGACCGAAAGATCGAGCTCGACGAGTGGCTCGTCTGCGTCGGCGCCGTCGAAGGTGAGGCACTTCTGCCTGACGGTGACTGGGTGACTCTAGTTTTAGGTTAAAAGATTCTCTGACAGCTCAGGAATCACAAATTTGCAGACGATCAGCATTCAGCAGCTTCTAGCCGGTACTTGAATCAAAGACAAAGATCAATACACCACTCATGCTGGAGTCGAATAATACAACTTAAGAATGATGTAGTGTTTATTACTTGAAGCTTGAATAAATAGCGATTGTGTGACAGTTGCGATTTGCCTATAGAGCATAGTTTAATGGGGAGTCGATCAACTATTAACGATGACCGTTTCTCCTTTTTCAGAGGAGCGGCGACCAGCGAAGGGACCTAACCCGTTCGAAGTGTACCTGACCAGCAGTGAACAGTGACTCTCAGTGACTCGCAGTGACTCGCAGTGACTGGATAGCTCGGTGAGCTCGTCGGCTTGCGTCACCCACGGCCATACCCCGTGCCATGATCTACAGGCCGGGTCGGTTCCCTCACAGCCGGGGACTGCCTCAAATGCCGCCCTCAGTGGGAAGGAAAGTCGAGGGAAGTCCGCCTCGATCGGGCGCTCCAGCTGACCGGACGTCCCGAGCCCCGGAGCTTGGCTCAGCGCCAGCGGTGACCCATGCACGGAGGTGACGCCGGAACAAGAAGCCAAAGCCCGTGTCGCCTAGTAGGCCCAAGTCCCTTCCGTCGCTACACGTGTTGCGCGTGCCACGAGCGTGCACCACGCGATCCAGTGTAGAATGTGCTGAAGGCGCGGTAACACAATCACAGGTGTACCATCTGAGCGTCGGTGTTATTTTCTGAACGCCAAGTGACACATCTACCACGGATCAACAAGCTAAGCGGTGCCGGCGACCTGTTGTACCCAACGGGGGATGGAAGGAAGAATCACAGCCCCCGCCCTCTTAGGACGGGGCGATACGTGGCCGACTTGACAGTGCAAGCTAATTGTAATGCGCCACGACGCGGGCGGGACGAATGTGCCGAGAGGAGCGTAACGACTGTGCCTGGAAGTCGGCACAGAAGCCGGTGGTAGTAGCGTTATGATATGGCCGCCAGCACTGCGAAAACGCGGCGACTCGCATCGGCAGGACGGCTTATCGTTGTCTCAGGACTCTTGTTTTGTTTAAGCGAATATTGTATTCAGAGATGCATTTTAATGACGCGTGATCATGATTGAAGTGTATGAGATGAAGTTTTATTCGTGACTGATATTCATTTTAGCGAATGTTCGGTTCTCTACGCCATAATTGTGCCATTTTAAGTCTTTTTTTTCGGCTTTTGCGCCCAGACTAGAAATTACTGAATCTTTCCCGAGCAGAAATCGGTCGCCAATTAGCTGCCATACCGAAGGGGGCGAACTTTATCTCTACGTGAGCGTCAAAGTGCCTCTGCGCGCCCCGTTCGCGGGTGCACCAATGTGTTGTGCGTGCCCTGTGTATGTGAGCGTTATTTATCTCGTATTCAGCAGGCGGCGGGCCGGTCCTATGGACCCGCCCGCCGTCCGACCGTTGTAGGCGCGGCCTGGCCCGAGCCGGTGTCTCAGAGGTGTACCTGATCCGCGTCGCGTCGCGTCGTGCGCGACGGCCGGCCGCCGGAGCAGCGCGGAGCGAGCCAGCGCGCCCAGTCCAGATCTCATCACCCGTGAGCTGGCCCCGCTGCGCCGGCGGGTCCGGCGCCGCTCCCGGCTGGCCCCCCGGTGTCCGGAGAGGTCTGCGCTCCCCGGCTGGCCCCCGGTGTCCCGAGAGGTCCGCGCTCCCGGCAGGTGCGCCGGGCGCCCTCGTGCGTCTCTCCACTGAGGTGTCGGATGGTAGGAAGGCGCAGAAGCCGAGTGTTTAGCCCGTTCGACTACGCGCTGCCGTTGCTCGCTGACCTGACCGTGTTTCATCCAACTCGACGGCGATATTTGTAAATATCATCCAACCATTCTGGCCGGTGTTTTTCTGCTGCAGATAGGCGGGTCGTTCAGCGGCACATTGTTTAGCCAGGTTAGTGTAATGATTAGTTCAGGATCCGGTGCCTCAGTCTGGGCATTTAAAACATCGACAGTTCGCTGTCCCAAAATTTACGTCTAAGTGGCTTTCACTAGCTTCTATTATTTCTGAAAATGTTTTTATAGTTATTTTAACATGAGAAATGGGCGGCGTTTAAACTTGGTGAAACCCTAACACAAGTACCAAGGGGAGCACATATTGCCCTCCTTCTGCGGCCACAACCGACCAAGATGCAACTAGAGCCGGGGTGCAAAATGCGGTCACACGAGAAACACGAGTAGCCCTTTCGGACCCTTCCAAATAGGGTCACCCCAGTGGTATTTAGGACCTCTATTTTTAGCCGACCGTCGCCCTCCCCCCTCCCCGGTCCCTCCATCTCCGACAAACAGGGTCCGCGGTCGGACGGCCGGGCGGGCGGGCGGACCGTCCCTTCTGACCCCTCAGGGCCCCAATCAGGGGAGCGTCGTCTGCGTGTGCGTGCCGCCTGGACCCGCGGTCCAGTGTCGGCGAGTGCGTGTAGATACGGCAGTGGGTCCGCGGCGGAGCGACGGCCCACACGTGGTGACGGAGCGCGGACGGATTGGATCAGAGAAGGGAGGTGTTAGTATATGGGACAGCGTGAGTCAGTGAAGAAGCAGCGGCACCGCTGGAGAATCTGACCTCTCCAGACCGCCCGTGGGACAACAATGGGCTTCCTGAAAGCGTTTGCCGCTTTTCTCCGGCGTATGCGTAAGTTATTTTGTCTGTTCACGTAGTCGTGAAATATTAGAATGGGACCTCTGTAATTTATTGCCAATTAGTTTGTCAGACGCTCATTTGATGACCCGTTGGTTCAGGCGATATAAATTTTAATATCATTATAAATGAAACTGGTAAATTTATAAAGAAAAATGCTTAGTACAAATAGCCCCTTCTAGCAAAATGACGTGAACCATTGGCATTTGTAGTCATCTCTGACTAATGACACAGCTTTGCTGGCCGGCTCAGTTTGCTCTGACCGTCTCCCCCACGTTCCCGCGTGTTCGGCAGGTGGGTGGTTACGCTCGGCCCTCTGCTGTTCCGGTCCCCGCCACCGGCGTCACCGCTCCTCGGCGTGCCCCGCGTACACCGACCCCTCGATCCCAGTGGGAGCTGAGGACCTGACGGAGCTGCTGCCGGACGAGCTGCTGTTGGAGCTGCTGGACCACCTGTCTGCGGCGGACCGGTGCCGGGCCGCAGCCACCTGCCGGCGCTGGCACCGGCTCGCCGCCGATCCGCTCGCCTGGCGGCGCTGTCACCGACGTCTTCACCTACCGCCCATGTCGGAGAGGGAGTCGCGACTCGAGTGCGTCTCACACGCGCTCTGGTGCCGAGAGCGACCGTACGTGACTGTGAACGGCGTGACGACAGACTGCCAAGTCCCTGGGGACAGCGTGCTGATCGACTGGAGCGCAGAGCGGGCGCTGATGCGCACCAGCTCCGGCGCGGGGGAGGTGTGGTCGACAGAGGGTCACGGTCTGCTCTGCACCCTGGCACTGGAGGGCGAGAGCGGCTGCCGCGGCTCGCTCGTGCTCTCGGCCTACATGTTCGGCGAGCGAGCGGTGACGCTCGACGGAAACATGGAGATCCGCGTGTGGTGTCTGCGCTCCCATCGGCTGATTCAGATCCTCAAGGGCCACGGCTGCCCGGTGATCTCGATGGATATGGACGAGTATCTGGTGACGGGCGGCGCCGAGCAGCGACTCGGCGTCTGGCGCCCCGACTCGGGTCGCTGCGGCGGTCTGCTCGATGACCACGAGCCAGCGCCGCCGGTCCTGGTCCGGTGCAGCGGCCGGCGGGCCATCTCCGCTGACTGGTACGGCCGGGCGCTCATCTGGGACCTGCCCAAGGCGCGCTGCATCCGACAGATCCTCACCGGACGGTACGCGTGCGACCGGCTCAGCTGCGCCATCATAGTCGCCCTCAACCGCACCCACGCCGTCATCGCCGAGCACACGGGACGCGTGCACCTGCTGAACGTCGACACGGGCGCGCACATCAAGCAGCTCGTCGTCGCCGAGCGGCGGCTGTTCGCAGTGGCGCTGGACGACCGCACGCTGGCCGTGGCCGGAGCCAGTGGCTCGGTCCGCCTCTGGTCGCTGCACGGTACGCCGCAGCTGCTGTTCCGCGTCTCCGTGTTCATGGCCGGCTCGTACCGTACCGTGCTCCGACAGGGCCTCCTGTTTGTCCAGAGCGACACACTGGTGCAGGTGTATGATGTGGAGCGACGGCGACTCGTACAGACCCTCACAATGCCGCCGCTGGCCAGGCGCAAACTGAGCGTGGAGAGAAACAAGGTGATGAGCGTCACGTACCGCGGACGCCGCAAAGAGGAGATGTGCTTCCATCTGGTGAAGGTGCACCTCGGCAGCTTTTGACCTGACCAGACGGGAGCCCCACGAGTCGATCCCGACCCGGTAAATTGGTCTCGAGACTTGGTGAACTGATCGAGCGACATGGTGACTCGAACTAGCCATTTGATGATGAATCGAGTTCAGAGGACAGTAATTTCAGGCCCTATAGGCCAGCTCAAGAGGCAGCTCTGTCGTGAAGCAAGATGGGCGTGAACGGAACGCCAGTATCTCCTCGAGAACCCGTCAATACGTTCGGAATGTTGAAAACAAACATACCTCGTCCCAACACTGGTACAAAGTTCTGATCAAAGGTCGGAAAATAGGAAGAGTAGATTAGATAATACAGTAGATTAGGACACTTAAGAGTAGATGTAAGGGTGTAATGACTTGTACAGAATGCAGGCACCCACCAGTTGAATGCATATCTCCACAGGACAATGGCCAATGATCACAACTCAAACTGATTTTCTGACGCCTATCTGACCCGACTTTGCCGGTAAAAGTTTAAGAAAAGGGATCGTCATCGTGATTTAGTAGGAATAGGAGTGTGCTCAGTAGTATTGCGTCGTAATAAGCCATAAGTCAAGCCTTTGCTTGGTTGGTAATAACTAAAACATGCTTACATTGCGTTTAGTTAAAATTGAATGTTTTCATGTATATTGTATATCCAATGTCCATGTATAGCTACCAAGCGATGACTTGTGTTTTGGTCCGGTACCCACTACCCACAAACATGATCAATGAGGCTTACAATCAACGAATTTCCCAAGTCATGCTTTTCGCGGCATCGTCAGTGCTCGTGTTTGCGCCAAGTTTTTTATTTATGAAAAAAGAAAACTGAAGAAATAATCCTAGGTAAGCTGTATTTTTACGTTTTTAACTCAAGGAAATAGTATCAGGGATGAGTATTGTGCAGTTAATACATTGCGATCCACAGTAATAAAAACGTCTATAGAAAACACGGTCATTTGGCGGAAATTATCATCTACGGTCGCTTTTATACCTGCAGTGATGCATGTGATGGACGAGGTTTACAGACAATAGGCCATCAGCCGACTTACGTACATAGTCATGGCCCATGGGTTTGTGCCTTGCACATGTCTTGTATATGGGTAGACATGTCACGTACGCTTAACTTTGACCTCACCTCACTGGTAAGTGGTAACCGGCTACCTGGAGTTCTTGGGTTAGCCTAAACTGGACATCAGACGTCACTGGGGCGTCCCGCGTCGGCGATGGAAAACCAACGAGACAAACGTGTGATTTCACGTCTCCAGGGTCAAGCTCAATTTATGATAAAAAGTGAATTTAGTTCAAGCAAGTTCAAGCAATTTAATTCAACTCTCACTATGTGCCGCCAATAATTGCCAATAGTCAAGGGAGTGAGGCAATGAAAACCCCTCGATATTCTCATTTCTTGTTTACATTCGTTATGAAAAGATCGGTGAGATACAACAATCCAATAAAGAACTGTCGCAGACCGCAGTGAAAAAAGCAAATCACGGACCGGCTAGGTGGCAGGTGCAGCCAAAGAATCCAACGACTGAGAGCCCTTTCGAAAGCTTGGCCTCAGCGCCGCTTGGCGGGAGGCTGCCAAACGTCAGCTTCTCCTTTTGTCCGCCAGAAGGCGATGGCTGCGCGCCCTGCGCGGCCGGCCGGCGCCCGGCTCGTCTCTGAGGCAGGGATCGATGCGCGGCGAGTCTTCGATTGGCGCTGAGCGCACCGGGCCGCCGGCAGCACGGGGGACCCTCCGACCGATCAGTCAGCTGACAGGCACTGCGGGACGCCGGACCCGCCACTACGGCCGGAGCACGGCTGGAGTACGGCCTGGTACGGCCGCGGACGGCAGAGGGACGTGGCCGAGATACAAGATTCGCCCACCGAGCAGCGATGGTCCGACAAAGTCACGAGCTCTCCACCAGCCACATCGAGGACGCTGAGATAAACTCAGCCAGCAGAAGTTGAACCTGAACACTTCTACCAGCATCCCGCAAGGAACAACTCGTCTTCCACCGCGAGACACCAGCAGTCAAGCAGCGCACTGGGGTCTCCGTGCTAGCGATAGCGCTCTTCAGAAGCACTCAGCAGCTGTGTGTCCGGCAGGAGGAGGCCGGCTACACAGAGCTGTGTGTCCGGCAGGAGGAGGCCGGCTACACAGCGGCTCCTGCACCTGGTCCTGGGAAGGAACAGCTGCCGACGACAGCTGATCGAACACGACTCGGCCCGAGCCAGGTCAGTGGAAAGGGGACGGCCACGAGCGCTTTTATGGAGTGCCGTTGGCTTCAACGAATCAGGATAGCAGCTATAAAATGTAGATTAATAATTTACCTTGAGAGACAATTTACCTCGAGCACCAGCATAGTGCTCGAGGATCTAGGATGTGTTGCGTTATAGACGAATATAACATAGCGTAAACTAACATACCAAAGTAACATATAGTCTACAAAACTGTCAATAAAGAATACACACATGATGCGAATACATTCGTGCAAACCATCAAATGTGGTCCGATGTTTGGACCAATCAGGGACAGCAACTCTCCGAGACCGAGTTTAATTACCCGGTGGGGGGAGGGAGGGGATGTTCCCCTACAATCTGGCAGCTGTAGAGTCCAATTAAACCACCAGTACGCCCCACGTAACGAGTTACCCGTGGTAATTGGAAATACACGCAACTCATCAGCCAATTACCTCCATCGGCGATCTCCCGAAAGCCTCGCAGAAGACCGTATCGATTTTGTCATTAGCTTGTCGTCGCCCACAATAGACCCAATTAACGTCGAGGCGACCAGAGCCGCACGCTAGTTTCTATGGCAACAGCAGTGTAGTAAATGTCCCTTGATCAATACTTTTCCCATATTTTAATGAGTCTCCCCAAGTTGGCTCGTTCGGCCAGCCGAAGGTGTCGACTGACACGCCAGATCGCCCCATAATCCCCCCAGTCCGGTCACGTTGTGCCTTAACGTCGACAGGAAACGGGCCTGTCCCCGCGGCGACGCGGCGTGCGCTCCAAAGTAGCTGTGCGACCCCGTGCACCGGTAAACGACGCCGCTGGGTCGCCCACGCCCGCCGGGGCCTCGGGTCAGCCGGTGGCACCGTCCAGGGCAGGGGAACCGGGGTGATTTACTCCTCTGTGATGGGGAATCGTATACTGTGAGTGAACTCCAGGCAAACAGAGGAGCGGCAGCGGACCTTCCCCAGTTTCAAGAAGTTGGGTGGCCGATAAACTTCTTACTTCTTCTGCTAGGGATTTTGACATTGCGTGCATAGGAATACAAGTAAATTACTTTGTGAGCTCATCAAAAAATACTAGGAATACTCGGAAAATACTCTGCACTGCCGCTCAACACTTGCACCCAATGGTATTCATTTTCTCATCGCAGCATACCATATTTTCATATCCAGCGGTCATTTTTTGGCTTTTATCTGAAACAACATATCCAAGTGTCAGTTTGCTGAAAAGATGCATTTTTGCATGCCGGAATCACCAACCAATCTACGTCATCTTTTTTAAGAACATCATCAGACTTGCAAGAGCTGGGTACAGTGCAGCCCAGCTGGTTGCTAGGGCGGCCCAGATTATGTATACCATCAGGCCATCAACAAGCTGCGAACTCGGCTGTCGCTACATCATCTCATCATTCTAGGAAGAGCTGAGCTACATTTATAGCTCACCGTTCCAATACAGCGAATGGGGCCACTAAAATAAGCCGTCAGGTTGACAGAGCAGAATGGGTTGTCACTTCAACACAGCGAGCTACCACCGAGAAACTGTCAACTTTTGTTCATCAAATTCGTCAGTCTAGCATTTCGAAGGAAGCAGTTTATCAGCAAACATAATTAACACCAGTCCCGCCCTGCCAGTGGAGTGCATGCACCCACCTCTAGGAGGCGCCTCTACCATCAGCATTCAACTCAGGCCACGGCAGCCGGTCGGCCGTCGGCCCGGTATTAGCGAGTTAGTGGAGCCTATTTCGGTGGAAATCGCCCGCCGGCTAGGTCGCCTATGGCTGGGTCGACCGACGGGCGGCGGGTCGGTCGGTCGATGTCCCCAGCACCGTTCATTTCGTGCCGACGGAGGGGGTAATCGGCCGCCGGAGCTGGTCCGGGGGTGCACTGTAAGTACGCCCACGACTTGGGGTATGGAGCAGGTAGCCGTTTGACCGATCAGAGTTCACGAGTTTTGGTACGGACAGGCGCGGCACGGTTCCATGGCGAACACTCAGTACGCCGCGGTAGTGCCCCCGACGGGAGCGGCGCCGGTGATGGCGGTATGGATAATGATTCCGCTCGGGGAGGGGAGAGGACGCCGCGATCAGCGCAGGGAGGGGAAGACAGCGCCGCTCCCGAGCCATCCTACCCCACTCTCGGACCATCAGAGACGGGAAGAGAGCGCGCCCGGCAATGGAACCGTACCATTTGTCATGGTGCTTGTCATAGGTAGGGCGCCGCCAGCGCTCCCCGAAGAAAATTACACCCGAGCCGCACAGCTGCGAAAACGGCTAAAATCACAACCGAGAACGTCTATTTTCCGCGCAAAAGGATGGTTTGGACGATAAATCAGCACACTAGCACTGCCAGCAGAGCGTCTGATAAATGAGCTGACCGACCGCCTCCCCCAGGCGCTGCAAACATGGCTGTGAGCCGGGACCTGCTGTCGGTGCCGCTGCGACTATACATCTATGGACTGCACGGCTTCTTCACGGAAGTCATCTTCACCGCCATCTGGGACTTTGTGCTCAAACAGGACTTCCGGTTCCATGGTAAGACGAGGGACGGCAGACAGAACGACACAGGACGTAAGGTGCCGTGTGTCGCTGGGATGGAGGGAGGATTGGAGGGAGGATTGGGAGGAAGTTTCTCGCTCCACGCTGAGAATTGTGCATTCTGGTGGAAGTGATTTCAAAAGATGGCATCCCTCATAGTTCATAACAAGGGGGCAATGTGGTAACAACGAACGCCACTCACCACTCTACTGAATCATCAATTTGAGGAAAAGTGTAATACTGCCCTGAAGTGCGCTCCCTTCCATTCCGTTCCAGGGTGCACCAGCATCTGGTCTCTGTTCATCTACGCAACCGGCGTGTTCGTCAACGAGCGGCTGTTTCTGCGAATGCGGGACTCTGTGCCGATACTGGTGCGGGGCCTCGTCTACGTCCTCTGGACCTACACCTGGGAGTACAGCACCGGTCGCGTGCTGGACTTTTTCGGCGCCCGGCCGTGGGACTATACCGAGCTGCAGTACAACATCCACGGCCTGATCGCGCTCGAGTTCGCGCCGCTCTGGTACTGCGCCTGTCTGGTCAGTGAGCAGTTTCTCATCAGTCAGATCCTGCGACTGAGCTGGGGCGCCGGCGGCGACCGGCCGGCGCGGGGGAAGGCGGCGCCGAGCCCGCCGGCCGCGCCGCGCAGAGAGGAGAGGAACGGATACGGACCCGGCGGGGAGAAGAGCGCAGGAGGAAGGGGAAACGGGACCAGGGGAGACGGCGGCAGGGCAGCCACCAAGGCCGGCAAACGGAGAAACGGGCAGAACGGAACCGCGAGACAGGCGGCCGCGGGGAAGGCGGGAGGAAGGCAAAACGGTGCCAAAAACTGACTGTTCACTGAGTGAACACCGACAGAGCTCGGCTGAGAAAGACGACCTCTCCAACTACTACTTCATGCTAATTGAAGCTCAATAAGGTTAAGGAAAAGACTATTACGATGCATTATTTGATGTTGCTATGTAAGCTTATTTTTAGCTTGTTAGATGTTGATGTTGATGAGGCAAAATTTTGTAATTTGAAATGAATATGTTAATAATTATGAATCCAACTGTAACGCATAAGTTTCATTATGTGACCTGCCGTACCCCATGGCCGAACTACACTTGGATAAAGACATGAAACGGTGAGTATCGAGTCATACGTAGGTTTAGCTCGTGGGAGCAGAGTAAGTAGATAACATGCGTTGCAACAACGCTTTGTCTGACGTCCTATACCTACTGTCCCTTTATCAATCATAGTGCACTGTGTTCTGTGAAATTGTTACGCAGAATCTCCTTCAAATTTCAGCGATTGTCGTAGCATCATCGTGCTCAATCATAGCTGTTTGTTGCACTTCAGAAGTAAGTAAGTTAAGTATCCCTTACTGCCACACTAATCCTGTGCATCCACACTGACTCCCATGGTATTCGAGAGGTAGTAACTGGGGTACGCGCCATGTGGTAGAGTCATTCTTTATGTAGCGTTGAGCATGCATCGAACGAGATCGGTCTCAAATCGAGCCAGGGCAATCGAGTTCGAAACCGTTCAGCCGTTTCGAAAGGTTAGTCGTAAAATAATCCCAGACATCCAATACGTTTCTCGGTAGCGTAAAACCGTCTCTGTAGTTTCCAATCAACCTTTACAATGTCTGCAGGACATTGCCAGGCCTCTATCACGGTGAGCAATTGACTCTCCCCTTTCTCTTTGTTAAAACTGTACAATGTACAGGTCTCGCGGGTTTTAAGGGTAGGTTTTGCCTTTCCGGCTATATCTTTTTCGTCTTCAGCTTTGCAGCCTTAAAGATGTGACCGATTTGTTCGTATGGCTCCCTACCATGATCATGGAAAACGGTTTAATCGTATGCCGGCTAGTTTCGGAGAAATTTACAGAAAACCTCAAAATCTGCCGTTTGGGGCATTCTGGCCGCGGCTTCCCTGCAGTCGCTTATGACTACAGTGGTGCCACCCAACGAGTAGGACGCTGAAACATAGAGGCATGAATGAATCCAGCGCGTGGTGAACGGTGGATAGAGACGGGACTCGGCAGAGGCTATCACTGCGGCCCGCCGCGCAGGGCGTCCTTGGACAGCGGCCGAGCCCTCGGGCGGTGAGGCCAGAGGTCACGAGAGCCCGGCGCTATTTGGCGCACATGAAGGGGAGGCGCTCGCCTCAGCCTTGTAACTCAGCCGGTCTGGTGGTGGTGGTGGTGGTGGGGGGGGGGGGGGGGGCGGCAGGCGGGAGGGGCTAGAACAAACGGGATGGTGGTTTAGGTTTAACCCTATTCCTGGCGGGCTCCGCCGGGACAAGAAACTGGCGGGGGGGGGGGCCGATTCGGCCCCCCCCTTCAGATCTCAAAAACTACACATCGCAGCGACAAACGGTAAACGGCATCGGATACGCACGGTCAAGATCTACAATTTTTACTAAGGTCATTTTCAGGTCAGGTCAAAGATGACGTCACAGGGGTCGAAAAAGTCAAAATGGCGGCGCTAGATATGGAGAGAGTTTTTCTCGAATAACTTTCGAATTAGTCAAGATAGGAACAAACTAAGGGCATCATCGTGATCCTCTCGTCAATCCGCATCGAATGATATATATGTTGACCTCGAAAGGTCAAGGTCAAAGGTTGACCTCAGGTCACGTGACCTCGAGGTCATCATGTATATCATTCGATGCGTCTTGACGAGCTGAACACAATGAGACCATCCACGCGTCTGTATCTTGTTCCTGTACGGAGTTATTGGCCAAAAACCTTTGGTGACCTTTGATGACGTCACATGACCTCACAGCTGCCCAACAGCAAAACAGACCTCAAGGTAGTGAAGGTTGATCGTATATGAAGTCATGTATGGTATATGGGGCCATTCCGACCCGTTTTAGTGGTAAAAACAGGGAGTTGATTTTCCCCCATTGACTTATAATGGGGAGGTCGCGAAACTGACCTGACCTTAGGTCACCGATATCAAAATTCCGAGATATACAAATTGCACATACTGGTACCCTAACTAAAGCCTGAAGAGAAGAAATTGATCGGTCAAAAACTCTAGCTCTGGCGTGATTGCAAACTTTTCTGAGGTAGGGTCACCAAACCGCCTCTGGTGACCTGACCTGAGGTCAGATCAACTCAAAATTTCCAGACATGTTGCGTAGAAGCCTTTTAGGAAAAGTCAGAAAATTTGAGCTTCCTAGCTCAACGCGTTTGGGAGAAATAACCAAAAAACCTCAGGGGGGCTCCTGTGGCCCCCCGCCAGGAATAGGGTTAAAATAGATTGGAAATGTCGTGTCATGGTCAACTTAAATTATATTTTACCTAATAAACATCTATTAACATTACGAAAGAGCCCACCATTTTTATTGATAGATATAAAAGAAATGCTTTTTTCGATGTTACCGTTTACTTTTAATGGAATTCAAACCCTACCTCTTACTTATAGGGGTGATAAAACAAACCCCTCTCCTCAGTTTTTTCCTGAATAACTGGCGTAGGAAGTGTCGGATAGCTGCAAAGCTTTCAGTGCCGTAAGTTATTTTTTCACCATATAGTAAATAAATATCCATGCGGTCAGGAGTCAGGATAAGTTCAGGCCATCCGCAATTTCATGTTTTACACCTACCCTTAAAATTCAATGACCCTGACCAAAATGGCCATTGGTCTGTGACCACTTCTTAGAGCCCATTATGTTTAGGCCAGAATGGGTATTCGGCGTGTCAGGTCTCATTACCCCGGCGGCCGCTGGGCCTCCGCGCCACTAGAGGTGGCAAAATGTGGACCCGAGGACCCGGTCCAAAGAACCAGTCTGGACCCATATGGGTCCAGACCGGTTCCTGGAAATTTTATGACGGGTCCCACCGGGTCCTACCATAAACTATACATCTTGCACACTACACATTATTGCAAAATATGAAGTGAATGTTTCTTTGCACACCGTAGCTCATGGGTAGTCCCAGTGGGAAATAGGCTGTTTTACATCATGCAACTAATGACACCTTCAAGTAGTTTGTATTAATTGACTTTTGGAGAACGGGTCCAAATGGTTCCGATTCCAACCAAGACCGGGTCCGACTGGTTCCAGAAATGTCCAGCCGGGTCTGGTTCGAGTCTGGTTCCCAAAATTTTCATCTTTTGCCACCTCTACGCGCCACCCGCCGGCCGCTGGGGGGAAGGGGGAAACAGTTGCCCCCCTTTACTTCTGCGACGATATCGTCGCAACATGAAGAGATAGAGAAGAGAAACTTTGCACACATTTTCCTGAATGCCTAGGCCGAGTTGTGTTCCAATTTGTTGTCAATCCCATGTGAAATGACATGCCAAGCTTTGCCAAGTTTCACGCTCGTAGCTCATCAGGTTTCGGAGATATTCCACAAAACGTAAGGGGGGAACAACTTTATGCCCCCCCCCCAGCGGCTCGGGTTAACCGCTCATTTCTAGACTTGTGATTAGAAACGTCCCAACATGTGAAATGATGTTTGGTCCCTTGTGGCTTACTTGGCCGGTGCCTTCAGGGCTGTTTAACTACAAATTTGCCGATCTGCTGAGCGCATGGAGCCGATCTAGCCAGGTTAATAACCACTAGGGGTGACATTGCGGCACAGTCATCTTTAAGGTTTCCGCGCCCCTACAATATCCGCAGTTTAGCTCCGGTTTTCTGGTCACATGCCTAAAGGCGAGGTC